GATGATCATCGATTTTACCAAAACTTGGTATTTTCAACAAGAAAAATTAATGGCTTTTATTTAATGTATTTATCATTTGTATTTAAGTATATATTTTATTTATAACATTTGTATGCTTATTTTTCCGCTGTTTCTTTATTTTTAGTAATGTACTACCGCTTATGTGTATACAAACACTGTTTCACGCGCAAATTTATTTGCAAGTGCGTTGTTTTAGACAAAATTATCTTCACTTATTAATTAAGTTGGCTTCAAAGCAGAAGCCCACAAAAATTTAACTTTCAATTTACAGGTCTATTCTGATTGTTATCAAACATTCTGTTTTGTAGACCCATTAGTGGCAATTACATGAGTAATGTAAGTATGTTTATGTAGGTGTGAACCGAGCATTACGTGGTATCATAGGAATTGTATTGGCTGTGATGGTTATGCCAGCTGTAAACTGTAAACTAAAGAGTGTGACTTGGATGTTATGTAGTAGCGTTTGGTGTATTAAGGTTGCAAACTTCCTTGAATGGCTTGCAGCGAATAAAGTGGAGCTTGTCATATTCACCCTCATTGCGAGAGTCGTGTCGAATGCAAGTCGGTTTTCGAGAGTCGAATCGTATCGAAAATTTCACGTCATTGCCTAAAATTTCCACTCGACTAGTGTATTAAAACGGAAAAACTTGGCAGCACTGTATAGTTTTCGACAAATTTCGTCGTTTACTTTTTTCAGCACGACAGTAAACAATTCCAATGTTGTCGAGTCGTACAATTTAGCCTAATTTACGACTTACGCAATGAGGCTGATTATTTGCGCCCTTTATTGCTTTTTTCCCAACAAGTTTTAAATTACATACGTTGAATAATATACTTTGCTCTCAAAGTTTTATAAATAAATTTCAGCGCAATTTCTATATTTTTTCACATTTATTATGCATATTTATGTATGTATCTACGTATGTATAATTAAAAATTAACTCTTGTCATTTACCGCACTTTATCAACAGAACTACTAGTTTTTGTACGCATTCGTTTAAACTTTTTTAATCGAGTATTTTGCAGTATTTTCTTTAGCTATTTTATTATCATTTGTATTTTTTTTTTATTTCCTTCTTATAATGACATCATTTTTATGCTTTCTATGGATTTTATTCTCAGCCCCCAGCATTTCGGTGTCGCTCGTTTCCTTGGCATAATTGCACAGTTGTGTGCAAAAGCACATCGAAAACAGTTAAGGCAAACTGTCGGCATTTTCTTCTAACGTTTTTATATCTTTCTAAAATGTAAAAGTTGTTAACTTTTTTCGTAATCCCCCCCCCCCCCCCGCGTTTTTTTATTTGTGTATATAATTTAAATGTGACTAGATTGGTGAGTATTTTTTATGGACACCGATGTATGTTTTTTTTTTGTTTATAGTAAAATGTACCTGTACCTATTACTTATAATTGCGCTGATTTTTAGTACATTGTAAGATATGGGAAAATTAAATTTTTCTACACAAAAAAAAAATCAATAAAGCACTAAAACCTCAATGAAACTGCATAAAAGTTTAGTATAAGTATGAACGCTTAATTAGCTTTACTTTTCAAAATTCTTGAAAATTTTTCTTTTTTTTTTGCTTTAATTATATTTTTTTGTTTATTCAATTTATTTAAGCCGAATTTTCACTCGGCCTTAAAACGATAAAAAAATGACAAGGTTGGACATTAAATAGTACACGTATTTTAGTTGAAAATAACAGTTACTAAGACTCACTTATGTTTAGCCATTTCAATGCCTAGTGGAAACTCGGCATTATTGTTTTATCATTTTCCACTTTAATATTTTTTTTTTACTATTTCAATTACTTTTTTTAATCTTTATTCTAAGCTGACGCCATAATTATTCGTTTCATTGCTATTTTATCATATCATTTATCATATGTAATGGTTTAGAAAGCTGACTCCAATTATTCGTTTTTTTTTTGCTACATATTTAACTTCAAACTAGAGGAAATACCTGCGGGCTTCACAAGCTGTCATAACAGCAATAATGTAGTAACATCATTAAAAATGTTTTCTGGTTGGAACTCTCTTACAAATATCTTTAGCCATTAAAAGCGTTATAACTTTGTGAAAATACGACATCTTGTGAACTTCCTAGCTGGATAAATTTTGACAAAAGTGCTTCATTTACCCTAGCATGTTGGGCTTCCATAATAAAATTATATTTGTTGTTGCATTGTTTAGTACATTGCGTTGTCCATTTATTTTATTTTAACTAATTTTTTTAATTTTAGCATAATTTTTTGATTAAATTCACGAAATAAGGCTTAAAGGAAATATCAGAACAGACCCGAAAAAATTTGAGTTGGTCGATTTCATGCCGCCTAAGTTGGATTTTGTGGATTTTTACTTTTTGTGCTTAAGGTATGTCCCACAGACAGCTAAATTGAGCTATAATCGAAAATGCATCATGTAAAATAAATTAAAAAAAAAAAATCAAATATGAATTAGAAATCTTGCGTCCCAAAATCTTTCAACTGAACCAATTTTTTTGCTTAATTGCATCTAAATTATATACAAGGCCATGAGATTATTTCAATTGATAAATGAGGGAAGAAAGTGCAGTGGTGAGTAACTTTTAAACACAAAAAATATAACCGACTTCAATGCTCATATAAAATTTAGGCAGACCGTTAACTTCACTTTTCTGCGAAGATTAATGAATAATGCACCTAATGAGATTACTATACAAACTAAAGTGTACTTTGTGTTTAAGTAATTATTTTCGTTATAAAAACAAAAAAATTCCAAAATTTCTGCAATTTGGACATTAAAATCGTGCGTTTAGCGTTTTACCACGGGTACTACCTTAATAACCAATATTCTCATTCAGCCTTATCGTTAATTCCATATGAATAAATCACTACCTTAATTAAAAAGGCAAAACAAAACCAAATTGGAAAAAAATGTTTGTGTTTTACTTTATAATTTTTGGGAAAAAATATTGGTTCAAATGGAATTCACGTTAAGGTCGATTAAATTTTTTCATTTCAATGCTCGAAATCCGGCATAAGCACTATAGCGAACAAATGTACGTTGTAATGTTTCGCTTTCGAAACGATTTAGTTTTGATTTGGATTAGTTGATTTTTTAATCAAGTCCCAATTGCATTCAAGATAATTGTTTACACCTTCCTCCGCTGGTTCCTAATTTTTGAGCCGCACTTTCAAAAGAATTAGGCAAATTCGCATACTGTTTCAATTAACTTTATTATTTATATAAGCAACTATTTACTCGTAATACATACATACAATACAAGTTTAATTATGGTTGTTTTCTTTCTTTTTTTTTATATTCATAATGCTCAACAATCAAACGAAAATGAAATGTAGGAGCACAAAACTTTTTATGTATGTAAATACTTTTTAGAAATATGCACGCAGCACAAACTAGAGAGTATTAAACTAAATGCT